AATATTTTGATATTTGATAATCTTATTAAATTTTGATTAATATAAAATCGAGTTAGGTCAAATCTCATTAAAAAAAATTATTTCATGACATATTTTTTCATTCACAAGATTTAAATTCAAAATTTTATTTTAAAAAAATTAAATTTATTTTATTTGAACTAACATGTTATTCGTGATTTTAAAATATTTTTGTAAAATGAAAAATCAATCATTGTATTCAAATTCAAATTTTCCGGAAAAATGATTTGAAATCAGGCCGTCCAAGTTACAACTGGGGGGAGTGTTTGTTCTCCACGCGATTTTGACATCAGTGGTATATATTTTATAACACGGGGAGTAGTATTTTTATTTTTTGAACAATTTTGTAAAGGGTTGGATTCGAATCGTTACTTGTAAGAGAGATATGCACTTAAATATGACTTGACGTCATTAGATTCGAAGATTCAAGTGCAATATGAGAAGTAGTATTAATTAACATTGAAAAATAAAAATTAATATTTTTTAAATCAACTCTTCAATTGAAATAATCATGATATTATTTGTGAAATTATTGTCAATTTTTTTTTATGCAAATTAATTTTAAAAGAATAAATTAATTACACTTTTATATTTAAAGGTAAAAAAGATTATAACAACAATTATCAAAACTATTTAGGTTCCATTTGGGGTTATTGTTTTATAGTATTTTTTTATACAACACTTCATAAAAGTGTTTATTTATTATAATTAAATTAATTTTAACTAATAATATATTATATATAATTTAATAGTTATATTAATTTATAAGACCTTTTTTTACTATAAATAATAATATAACCTTAGTTTCAAACCATTATATATTAAAGTTTTTATAACATACACACTATTTGCTTATAACATAAATTAAAAGTATATTTATTAATAATATTTTTTTTATTAATTTCTATAAAAAAATAAAAATTAAATTTATTTTTTACACTAATATAACGTGAATAGAGGGGAAGAAAAGGAATGAAAGGCGAACCCTTTTTCCCTTCATTCTCCTCGTTTTTTTTTTTTTTTTTATCTGAATAAATAACTAAATTAAAAAGTAAAATAAATAGAATTTTTCTTCTCCCTTCTCATTTAAATTTTTTTAATAACCAAATAAAAAATTTATTCTCATCCCATCCCCTACCTTCGCCTCCATTCATCCTAATCCAAATATACTATCAAGCACTCACTCCTTTATATATGGTTTATACATTATTTTTTTATTTAATTAATCTATTAATATTTAATAACCATATTGAATCTTGATTAATTTTAAATTGACTCACATCAAACTCATATAAAAAAAAATTTTTTGACACTTTTTTTTTTGTAAAATTTAAATTAAAAATTTTATTTTAATTTTTTTTTTTTTTTCATTCTAACCAATAGATTATTAATCCTTATATATTCCTTATTGTTCTCAAAAGTATCCGAATGTTAGCAGACAAGTCTCAAATGAGGTCTCTCCGAAAAAAAAAAAAATAGCCGCAGGAATCCACTCCAATCCAATCCAGTGCGACACAGAAAGCAGGTTTCGTGGTGTATCCGCTACTTCTCTTTTCCGCCGGCGTGCAATTCGCGGCTCTCCCGTAACGTCAACCAATCACATTTTACCACGTGTTGTACTTACTCTAATTTAACTATCATGGACCCCACACATTTTTACAACAGCCAACGAGATGAACCGCAGTGGCAGTGCTTACCTAATTCATAACACATTCATTAATTTACTACCCCTCTTTTTTTTTTTTACGAGAAATATTATAAGGGTTTCTTTTTAGAGAGAAGATTAAATGTGTAATAAATATTTTTTTTAATAATTAATTTTTATATATTTTAATATTATGTATATGTGAATAATTTTAATTAATTGATTGATTA